TACCCCCAGGGTAGAAAACAACAAGGGGCTCCTCCAGGTCGGGTAATGTTTTTTTTTGGGGGGGACCCTGCTAGAACTGTAAAAAACCATGGTTTTGCACCTACCCCCCCTCAAAAATTTCACCGTTGCATTTTTTCCAACCAGGGTAGAAAACAACAAGGGGCTCCTCCAGGGGCTTGGCATCTGCCGGAAAATCTGCTTGGTCCCCTGACTTTCCGCGAGGGTCCGAGCCCGAGGCGGCGTGAATTCCTTGCGTCACTCTTCAGTGAAGGTGTCTTGAGATTTGGATGTCCCACCCTAGCATATCTAGCATTGTAAGCGCATGGTGTTGAGTGTCATCGTGCCTCCGATTCCACAGGAAAAGCAACCATTCTTTGTGCCATGTCTGCGCGCAGCTTCGTTCAAAGATCCATGCTAGGCTTCTTGGTATTGATTATTAGTCCCTGGTTTCACCCCACCCCACCCCTCCTCCAAAAAAAAGAAAACCTTGATTTTTTTGGAACCATTATGCGTTTCATACCTGCTAAATCCGTTTCATACCTGCTGAGTCCTAGGACTTTCAACTTCATGCGAGCCTCTGTGACGAGCTGCTTTCCCATTTTACCCACCAATTCAGGGAACGTGAGATTTACTGGGCGGCAAGAGCTCAATCTCGACTTCGTCAAGAACTTTTGACCCTCATTTGCGACTCTTTTGACAAATCAAAGGTGTCCATACCGAAATACCCTTATGGAAGAACCCCAAAGAGGGTGATTTACGAGGAGATCAAACGAATCCTGGTAGAACATCCAAAGTTTTCTCAGGTTTTTCAGTCAGTGTATTTTTGTAAATTAAATTTAGGTTTGTAATCTTTTGAGCCACATGGCGCGAGCTTGCATGCCTAAAGGCTGGGATTTCGGACCTTGAGCCGTCTTTACAGAGCCTTCTGCACAAATATGCACAGCCCATGAAAACCCCATTTCGGCAGAATTGAAAATTGTCGGCAATTTTATTTGTTTTCGGCAGAAAATTTAAAATTCGGCGATTCCTGTGCTGAAATGTAATTTCGGCAGAAGTTCCGAAAAAGGATTCCCCAGGAATATTTCAGCTAAAAATTTCTGGTTTATCATGGTCTCTCCAGGTCCTGGTTGAATTCAAGGCTCCGGATGATCCCCCCCCCACTTCTTTTAGAAGCCCAAAAAAAAACGTGGGGGGGGAGGGGTATATTTCACGTGGTCAGGTGAAATATTTCTCAGAAATTTCTTGCCTTACCCCCCCCAAATATTCCAGGGTTAAAGGGGGGGATACTGGCACCATGTGGGGTGCAGGACTGCTACATTGTCATCCAAACCCACAGATCAAAAATGATCAAACATGATCAAAATACAATCCAGCCACTTCACTTCCTACCTCTGGTGGTGGAAACGACTCGAGCCTGGGCCCCTGAGGCTGCCAAGGCCCTGAGTCGCATCGGCCGTGCCTCTGCTCTCCATGGCTTTGGGGCTGGAAGCGCGACCTTGTTGCAAGAAGCCTGTGTGGTGGTACGATCCTGGCGTGCCCGCGCTGCGTTGCGGCGGCGAGCCGAGTTGCAGCCATAGATGGCCTTCATCCTGACCGTCGGCCTGCTACTGATGATGCTCTGAATGAGAGGCTCCTTCCTGCACAGTTCTGTCCCCCGGCCATTGTGTGACTGTCCACAAGACAGAACATACAGAACCTGGGACAGAACATCCAGTTTTTGTTACCTATCGATGGATTTTGGAGCCAATGTCTGAAACGATGTTCGTTAGGGCTCCTTCCTCATGACTCTGACTTTTGAAGACTGGAGATTTCTGTAGCCCTTTTTGGCGTTCACGACGTGTGTTGTCCAAGACCACCCCTCTGGGCGAGGGCCCGTGGGATGGTGGAGCCAGCTGTGGCCATTTTTTCCGTCCTCACAGCAATAGCTGTTTGGCGTTTCAGGAGGTTCAATTTGTTTCTCCTGTTCAGTCTTCTCTCATTTTACTACTGAATGAACGCAATCCAGCCACAGATGAGGCACTTCTTGGCAAGCAACCCGACTGGCAAGCTGACCAGCATTCACGAACCAAATTTCTCGAGCCAGGAAATGTCACAGGTTCTGTCTGTTGGATGCATGGCATCACTGCCCGTTCTCTGTGTCACGAAGCTGGAAGCAGATCGAGATGAGACCTCGCTGACCACCCCTGCAATAAGAAACGCCCAGTTGGGCCGAAAGATGTGAGGTGTTGTGCTCATTCCCAAACCTGTTGTGCAAACAAAAGGCAGAGCCTGCACAATGGGGAACCACTGCGGTTTGAAAGGGTTCCAAATCCATGCAATCTTCATGGGATAGAGCCCTCTGAGTAAAAGCAATATTGCGTCAATTCAAATATTGTGTTATCGTTGGACGTTTCTTTCACGCTAGGGTGACACCCTGACTGTCGAAGACGACTTTTGACATGGTCTTTGGAAAAGACTGTTTCTGGCCACTTCTGAAATTCTGAATGGCGCCCCTGGTCAGTTTAACTATGCTCGAGCATTTTGACCTGGTTTGCATTGCAGTGTCGAAAGCCAAGACTGGGCAATGGGCAATTTGCTACGCCAAGGGTTGATTTGCAAAGGAACAACCCACAGGCGTACATGGTACACAAAAAATATCCAGAATGAAAATTTTGGGACCATGGGGGCAAACATCTCTGGATATTGGGATTTTCAGTATATCTTTCGGGATGTTGGTAGTCGGCCAAGATAACTTTCTATTTTCGTGCCTTGAATGGGTTTTGCAACATCCAAATTGCAATCCCTGTGCAGAAGCAACCACACGTGGGCCTGCCTCTGTCTTCACTGGCACCATGTGGGGTGCAGGACTGCTACATTGTCATCCAAACCATTCAAAGCACGTTCATGAGAGGAGCGGGTTCAGCTGTACTTCTCTTTTGCCATCGTCCAAACTGGGTACAGGAGATTTCTGTAGCCCTTTTTGGCGTTCACGACTTGTGTTGTCCAAGACCACCCCTCTGGGCGAGGGCCCGTGGGATGGTGGAGCCAGCTGTGGCCATTTTTTCCCTGTCCTCACAGCAATAGCTGTTTGGCGTTTCAGGAGGTTCAATTTGTTTCTCCTGTTCAGTCTTCTCTCATTTTACTACTGAATGAACGCAATCCAGCCACAGATGAGGCACTTCTTGGCAAGCAACCCGACTGGCAAGCTGACCAGCATTCACGAACCAAATTTCTCGAGCCAGGAAATGTCACAGGTTCTGTCTGTTGGATGCATGGCATCACTGCCCGTTCTCTGTGTCACGAAGCTGGAAGCAGATCGAGATGAGACCTCACTGACCACCCCTGCAATAAGAAACGCCCAGTTGGGCCGAAAGATGTGAGGTGTTGTGCTCATTCCCAAACCTGTTGTGCAAACAAAAGGCAGAGCCTGCACAATGGGGAACCACTGCGGTTTGAAAGGGTTCCAAATCCATGCAATCTTCATGGGATAGAGCCCTCTGAGTAAAAGCAATATTGCGTCAATTCAAATATTGTGTTATCGTTGGACGTTTCTTTCACGCTAGGGTGACACCCTGACTGTCGAAGACGACTTTTGACATGGTCTTTGGAAAAGACTGTTTCTGGCCACTTCTGAAATTCTGAATGGCGCCCCTGGTCAGTTTAACTATGCTCGAGCATTTTGACCTGGTTTGCATTGCAGTGTCGAAAGCCAAGACTGGGCAATGGGCAATTTGCTACGCCAAGGGTTGATTTGCAAAGGAACAACCCCCAGGCGTACATGGTACACAAAAAATATCCAGAATCAATTTTGGGACCATGGGGGCAAACATCTCTGGATATTGGGATTTTCAGTATATCTTTCGGGATGTTGGTAGTCGGCCAAGATAACTTTCTATTTTCGTGCCTTGAATGGGTTTTGCAACATCCAAATTGCAATCCCTGTGCAGAAGCAACCACACGTGGGCCTGCCTCTGTCTTCACTGGCACCATGTGGGGTGCAGGACTGCTACATTGTCATCCAAACCATTCAAAGCACGTTCATGAGAGGAGCGGGTTCAGCTGTACTTCTCTTTTGCCATCGTCCAAACTGGGTACAGTATCATGGAGGTGAAAAAGCAGATTCAGCTATATTCAGCTCTACTTCTCTTTGCGATTGTCTTAACACGGAGGCTGTCTCGAGTCGTTCTGCACAAGCTGACCTCTGGCTATCGAGATTCCTCACCCATATTTCGGCAAGCGCTAGGCGAGTGACAGTGATTTGCGTCACAAAGACACATCTGACACGCCTAGATTCCTAGATCACTGTAGTGAAGCCACGCAAAGCAACTCATCGGCATGCTTTGCCTTGAGGCGCCTTTGGCCATTAACATGCTGCGCACTTTGAGCTCAGTCAGGCGTGACAAAAGCGATTCACCTGTTCCTTCTTTGAGCCAAAAAAAGAGCCAGGTGTAGCCAGGTGTTTCACGACCACAAACAACAAAGAAAAGGATCTACATGGTGGAGCGTCTATATGCCTACTTGATTTCGATGGTGTCAACTCTCAAAGTTTTACACTTTACACAAGTCACGAGAGTCCATCTTAAATGTCAAGCATCTAATCGCTTCGGTCATCTGAGTTTTGAATGCGAGGATACCTAGTAGACTACAAGAATATACAAAAATATAGCGGGAAACATGGGGGACCCTAAAACCATGATCAATGCTCAATTTTGCCTTGTTCATTTTTGGCCATTGTCCCCATCACGTCCGGTCTCCCTTTGTTTCGACAACCCTGGATCTATGGGCTGAGGCGACTGATTTCCGAGGTTTAGGAGCTGGGGATGATGTAAAGGGGACGCTCAGCCCGAAATTCGATGACCATGCGAATGGAATTCAGAATGGGAATCGAAAAGAAAAATGTCTCCAAAAGAGTTCTTCGTTTCTGTGTGTGTGCTTGTTATTAATATCATAAAACATACATTCAAAGAAAAAGCCCCGCTGTGTGACCATGGACGAAGAATGTCGCCCTGGCCGCAGTTTTTGGTCCACTTGGCTCGTATCTCTACTGGACTCTGGGTGAGATCCTCGATGCTGCACAAAGAAAAGTTTGCGCAGTCTGACTGCATGGCATTTCAAGCCAAAAGAGCTTGAAGAGTCACAAACAAGAGCCTCTTGGCTCATCGTTTTTCCATCGTGAAGACTCTGGCACATCTCCAAAGCTTTAGCTTGGGAAGTCGTCATCTCCGAAGATGCACTCATCATCGTCATCATCGTTATCCTGGTCAGCATTGGTCAGCAGCTGCAGCTCCGGTGCCATGGTGACTTTCTCTAATTAATTTGATGTAACTAACGTAAAAACATGTAAAAACATGTCTAAACGTATATCTTCATATGATGTCATTTCTTCATTGATGTTTCTTCATTTTTTCCATGTTCGGCGTCCTCCGGGAAGAGACCCTTCTTTCGCAGAAAGTCGTTCGCCTGCGAAAAGTATCAGATGGCTTAGCACAGGGATATGCAGGGTCACAGAAATGACGTGTCCTTTGGTGTGCAGCTGGATAAATCTGGCTGCATTTGAATCTTGCCTCACGGATCATGGGCTCACGGATCCTTGGAAAGTCGCCATCCACAAGCACAAGACTAGATCTTTCATTGATGTTTCATATTATTTGATGATCTTTCTGCTCTTCTGAGTACTGAACTTCAGAGGAAACACGCCCTGCGACATCCACATCCACATCATTCTGCTGATTTTCTGAATCTCTCATCATCCTGTGCCTTCTCCGCATTGGCCTTGACCTGATAACATGGATCGCGGAAGGCAAACATCAACGAGCACTGCCCACTGAGCGATCCACTTTGCCAACAGAAATGCTGGCACCTTTTTTCAGGACCTTGGACCAATTGGAAGATGCTCAGCAGTTAGGATGTTACAATGTTGGAAAACCCATGGATACGGGCTGTACCCTATGTCAGATGTGTCTGTGTCGTGCTAAGGCGAAGGCCTCGCCGCCTTGGGTGGCCAACACTGCACCAAGCCATTCCTCGTGACACGACACGAATCGACACGACGACATGACACACTGCGGCACACGTCAACACATCGAAATGTGATGTGGATGTTACAAGCACGGGATAGGCAGATATAGGTTATGTATGGTTATGTATAGGAGTGTTTTTTCCATGGGTTTTTCCCATGCTCTTCCAATGTTTTTTAACTTCACAGCTCTCCTCACAGCTGAGATCTTTCTGCTTCTCATCTGGCACATACCTGACCCGCACCCGGCGCGGAACTCAGTGGAAGTGTGGCGCCGTGGCAATGCACCGGCCGTGGCACCGATGACAGGGGCACGCCACGACTGCCAAATGCTCTACACCGCAGGAGAAGACCATCTGGACAAAGTGAAGCAAGAGGATGATATATGATGATTACTACATATTACATTATGATTACTACATATGTTTGCTATTCTTCTGATTGTATAGATTGCACGTATGTAACTTGATATAGTATAGTATACACATGCATAACATCATATCATATTGCTTATATATATATATATATTGTATTTATGTGTATGTATATATATATATTATAGTGTATAGTATATTAAATATTATATACCACACAAAAGGATTTCCGCCTAGAGTATTGCAAAAGGTTCACACTTTGAAACCGTCCAACTGAGGCCCTTGCCTTGCCAATCTTCCCTGACCCGCCTTTTCGCTCCTGTGAATGTGACAAAGAGTTCTCAAAATATTAATGCTAGTCCCATGCTGTATCCGCTCCATCGACTGTAGTGCCAGAATCATGATCCTGTGCTGTGGTACATATGTGGCATATGGATATGATGATATGGCATGATATGGCATGATATGGCTACAATGTTTACATTCTCTAAGAAATTCATGGAAATTACTTGTATTAAAATTGTTTTTTCGGATGTTTTGTCTGTTTAACCTGTAAAAATCTCCTCCTCTGAAGGATCGCTCTTGGCATTCATGGCTTCGACACATTTCTCCAGGAGCTCCAGGTCTCCCTTGCGATGCAAAATGATGCCATATGATGCCATATTCTGAATATGATGCAAAACAATGAGCCAAGAGATCAAAACTGAGAGTGTCCAGAAAATGCTCGGAGTCTATTAACTGTTGTGTTCATGTCGAAGTTGCTGTTGAAGTTCAGTGCCTCTGGTTGATCAACTGAGGTACAGAAGAACTGCAGCCCACCCATGTCGGCAGCTCCTGTGAAAGTTGCGATCTACGCATGAATTGTATGCCGCTATGCCGCTATGCCGCTATGCCATTGACTGCTCACTCCGTTGCCTTCAATCTCAACTCCACGCTTTCCTCCCTCTTTGAGGACCTTATCAACTACTTGAGACAGAGATCAAAATCAGCCAGATGCTTCTAGATACGTGAAGCACCATGGAGCAATGCGAATCAATTTGTGGAGTATTATGCAGCATCAAACTGAAGCACCTTCTTCAACTTGTCTTTCTTTGCCTTCTCTGCTTCTTCGGGTGTAAGTTCTGCAGCTGGGGCCTCCTGAGAACAATGCAGTGGCTATGAAACAAGATGAAAACTTCTGAGTCGTTCTGCTCTCGGCGTCCTCTTTTTCGCCATCCTGAGGCACGGAAAAGAGTTGCAGTGGAGAGACTTCTGATCTTCCAAAGAAAAGTTGTAAAATGTGTGAGCGGCAGAGGTCGAACCTTCTTCTTGTCTTTCTTCCCTTCCTTCTTGGGTGCAGCATCCTTCTTAGGAGCCGCATCCTTCTTGGGAGCTGCATCCTTCTTGGGGGCCGCATCCTTCTTGGGAGCTGCATCCTTCTTGGGGGCCGCGTCCTTCTTGGGGGCCGCATCCTTCTTCGCATCCTTTCCGGAGTCTTTGCCCTGCAAATTGCAAGACTTTGCGCATTTTTGAAATTTGGGCAGCTCCCAAGTGCCTCAGTTGGCATTTTGACCTGTCCAAGAATCTTCTTGAATTCAGGCTGGTTCACACCTCAGCAGGATGTCACACCTCGCAAACTCTCCATCGAAGCCGGATGTCGGGTGTCGCTGCCCGAGATGTCGACACAGTTGGAACCAGCGCATTAGATTCTGACAGAACAAGCCAGGACTGCTGGGCTTTGCTACACAATTCATTGCAACACTAAAACTCGCAAGGATGGCTGGGAAAGGCTTGAGGTACTTGTCATCAAAAACCTTGGCAAACCACAGATTCGATTTGGTATCCAAAGTGGAGCCAATTTGCTACGGAAGTATGGCTTCTGGCGTGCGTCATACCATCCACCAATGCACAGCAAACCTTAGCAATTCGCGGAGCACTTCGCCCTCGGGTGGCTATGCCGCACCCAATTTCTCCGGCTCCCGTACCGAAATGTCCGCCAGAGTGATGCTGTCGCCCACCTGCGAGGATCTGATGGCTTGTGTTCAGGCTTTGCAGCACCAAATTCTAAACATGGTCAAACCCGAAAAAAACCCATACCCTCTGGTAATTTAACGTAGCTATTGAAAATCACCATTGAAATAGTGGATTTTCCCATTGAAAATGGTGGATCTTTCCATAGTTTTTTGTTAACGTTTACCAGAGGGTAAGGGAACCATCAAAAGGCAAAAGATCCATTGGAGTTGGAGCGCCAATGTTCCATGTTTTTTCGACGCGTCCGCGTCCTTTTTTTTGCACGGCATGTGGAAGCCACACTAACCGAGCCAGGCCCAGAGCAGGCCCGGAGCCCGGCAGGCCCGGCAGGCTGGGTGAGCCATGCGCTGTGATGCCACGGGATGCCACATTTGGCAAACCTCGATGAAACTGTCGTTGGGTGTTGGGTGTGGCACATGCACAGCGTGCGGTGAGATCTTTCACGTTTCCAGCTATCAGGAGCCCGTTGCCACTCAAAAGCTTCACTGTGCTGAAGCTCGGCGCATCCTGCCCTTATCAAACCATTGGAGATCGTGAAACATGTGATTCACATTTTGATCATTTTGTAGAAATACGTAAAATATCAAGTAAATATCATAAAATTGAACATATAGAATCCTTAAAAACTTTAAGCATATCCAGAATAATTCTGCGAATTTATCCCAGGGCGTTTCATCGGCAATTCTCTACTTTTCATCAAAAGGGACAGGAGTCCGCCGCTCTTTGGCCCACGGCCAACGGAAAAATTCTCAAATAGCATAGCTGGGAGTGAGCGTTCGTGATTTTCGCTCAGTCGTTGATGCAAAGAGTTGGGGATGGGTCATGGCACCCTGGTATCGTTCGTGAACCCCAAGTCATAGCTGGGATTTATGGATGTTCATCCATGTTCATCCCACTAAAATATGGTATCTATAGGTATTGACCCATACCCAGTTAAAAGTACTTGGTGGATCTGGATCTTGATGATCTTGATGGATCCCTGGGATCGGATCTCGGATATCTCGGATCTCCATCCTTCGCCCCCCGGCCCCGACGGCTCAAAAAGTTTGGAGAGGATGGAAAGGATTGAAAGGTACTGGACAGGATGCACATCCTTAAAAAATAACATCACGAGCACAACATACTGTCATTGGAGTCGCTTAAATCTGGCATTGAAAGTCCAATTGCCATTCAAATCCACGAGAATAACACTTTGAGTACGCGGAGTACGCAATACACACTAAATGTGCATCCATCGCGATTTATTTGCTAGCTCATGCTAGCTCACGCCGAAGCAAAAGCCTCAGGCAAGAGCCTTTAAAATCTCTTGGAGTTTCTTGGAGTCTCTTGACTCTGCATACTCAGGAATTTCCAGCTGTTCAGCAGCTGTTCTCATGGTTCTTATCCGCCAGCTTGTCGATCATACGCTGTCATAGTCGGCATCGCCTGCGGCAAATCTCAGTTCCCAGTTGATCTCAGTGAAAAAATTTACAGATTCACTTCACAGCAAACAGCTGATCACTGTCACTGCCTCTGGAATGATTTGGCCCACCTTAGGGGATCACATGGGATCACGATATGCGATATGCGATCGGCGCAGAGTGCAACACGAGCAGCCCGCCTGCGTAGCACAAGGGTCATCTCGGTCCTTTGGATCCTTTGGTGGCTTCCTGCGCGAAGATTCCAAGATTTCGTTGCCTTCTGCAGTGATGTTGCATGATTTGATGCGTCTTCTTCGATCTTGTTTGTTTGCCCAGTTTGCCCCCGAATTTTCTCAGCTCGGAACGGAAAGGAGATGCGGATCCTGAAACAGGTGGCCATGGGTGACATGGGTGACATGGGTGACATGGGTGACATGTGCCACGACATGGGTGCCAGCCACATGGTCGGATCTTGGCTGCCCACGACATGCCGCACTTGGCAAGAGGCACCAAGCCTGGCAGAAAATGACATAAAAATGACATGACTCATCGAATGACATGAAATCACCAGCTGTCACTGGAAGTTGCTCGCACCCAGGGATTCTCCGCTTGCGGAGGTTGCAGGAGCACCTGTAGCCATGCGCTCTGCAACGACAGAACTACAGACGGCATCAAAAACATTGAAAAGGTGCACAAGGAATAAGAGATGGACCTCGATTTGGTTCTCCGTTTCTATCCTGTTTTATCCTAACCGTTACCTCGTTCTCCTCATGGTTTTTGTTCCCATACTGGATGGACATCTTTGAGTTGGCCACAGAGGATGATGCTGTACAGGTCTCGAGGTGAAGCCTTAAGTGAACAGCACCGTTGTCACAACGGATTGAAAAATGGCGTCTCCAACAGGTGGTGGATATAGTAACAGGTGCATCTGGCTATCTATAGCTATGATATATCATATATATATATATATCATATATATACTATGGTGAATAAGAATATCTGATATATACAGTACTATGGTGAACATTATCAGATAGCAATCTCCGTGCGCTATCTCCGTGCGCTATCTCCGTGCCTCGCTGGCCACTCCCACGATGATTCCTGTCGCTGGGTTCATTGTAAGGCCTGCCTGGCAAGACAATGCAAGACACAAACAGTCGAGTCATGTCGAGTCCAGTGGATGGAGTTGATGAATAGTTGATGAATGGCAGAAATGGCAGAAATGGCAGAAATCTCGCGAGTTGTGCCGGAAGGTCTGGCGTGATGCTAAAGACAGCATCTGGGTCCCGGGGCCGGGCGGCCACAGCTGCATGACAGCTGCAGCCGTCGCAACGTTGTTGCGCATCTAATATATCGAATGCAATGTATACTGCACATCAACATGCTCAAAATGCAATGGCATACGTCGTATACATGTCAGTGTTTACAAAGCAGTTCAAGTTTGACTCAGCTTTGGACTTGCCAACACTGCCTCTGCTATGCAGCGTAGAATGCCAGCGCATGGGGCGAAGTCTTTCCGCAATATGACCGTATCATAGCGGGATAAACCCGTACCGAATCTGACTAGGCGGATTGTTTCCTAAGAACCCTTGCCAGGCCTGACCAACCTCAGGTCTGTCAAACTCGATGGTTGGCACCAACTTCAACTGTCACAGTTTCAAGAGTTTCAGGAAGTTGACATGGCAGAAACATACAGAAACATACAGAAACATGCAGAAACTGTCTTCGAAATCGTCAGAAATCTGCCTTGGCGCCAATTGGAAAGGTGACTCTTGGAGGGCGGCCGCCCTGGGCAAAACTGCGCAGGGTGTGTTCACATGTGCAAAAGGTGTAAAAATACACAGCTTTTCCCATCAAAACATGAAAACATGTGAAAACAGGTGGTGAAGGTGGTGGTGCATGGTGCATAAGAGATTTCAGACTTGGCTTCTGACAGAAGCTCGTGGATTGGTTTCCTTGAGGTAGCGGAAGGTGATGACATTGACACCCTGGACAGCGCTGCTTTCCAGCCATGGAAAGCCAGATGCTGAAGGCTGAAAAACGCTGCACCTCCTCTGCACCCAAGATCGTAGAACCTGAGAAACAAAAGCCGTGCCTTTTGACATCGACATGATACATATATAACTATATATATATACATATAGCATCATGACATCATGCCAGAAGATCTCAAAAATACTCTCAACATGGACCCATGGACCGATGGTCCGATGGACCGATGGACCAAAATTCAGTGCCTCCTGGCACGACCGCAGTGTTCTCATGCTGCTTGGAATTCTCCTCCATCCTGCAGAGATGTCAGAGTCCAACTCCAAAAAATGGCCCAGGGTCTCCTGATGTCTCCTGGTGTCTCCTGGTGTCTCCTGGTGTCTCCTGATGTCTCCTGATGTCTCCTGGGTCCCTCGTTCTGTTCGTTCTGTTCGTTCTGTTCGTTCTGTCTCGATGTCTCTCCTGCGCAACAACTTGCGGTTCTTCTTCTCACATTTCCTGGGGTGAAGCCTCACGGAAACAGCTGAAACAGCTGAGCTTCACAGCTCTGCCAGCACTGCGGAAAAACCACCTAAAAAAGAATAAGACGATATATGTTTATGTATTTATAATTTATCGTATGTATTATATTATCATATATGATAATAAATATGATCATATCTGATGATATCAATAGTTTAGAGTAGTTTCAGCAGATAGAATTTTCGCCGCTCTGTGTGCATCTTGCAGCTGTCTTGGCAGCCCGGCAAGTGGCAAAACCTGCAATCTGCACCTTATTCACCAGGGAATACCAGAGAGCATCGTCTCTCATCCATCTTGATCAGTTGATTCCGTCTTGGTCCTCTGCCCATGCGGCATCCTGCTGTACTGAAAAAGTGGAATTGGCACCTCAGATCTCAAATAATTTTGACAGTTGGTGTTTTGTATATCTCCTTTATACTAATGATACTCTTACATACGTTTACATACTTTTAATCATCATCGTCGATGTGAACCATTTTGAAAAGTGTTCACTTGTTCACATCCTTTTCAAGGTCTCACATCTTTTCATGGTTGCTGAGCGCAACACTCAGTGCAGCCATTCGGATGGTTTGCACTGCCCATGCTCGGCCTCGGGAAGCGATGTCCAAACATGGTGCAATGAGAGCGCTACAGTGGCAAAAGGCATCTGAGGCCCCATGCGCTGGCCCCTTGGAAGCATTCTGAGCCGGAAGGAAAGCTTCCTCCAGGTAGTATCCTGCCACATTCACAAGACATCGGAGAAAGCGGCAGTGGGGGAAGAAAAATCTTTTTTCACTGGAGCACAAAAAAACTTTCACCATGAAACCCGCGAAGCGCGGATTTCCAGCCCTCCTCCATCTAGGTCTTGCTGGCCCATACTAGTCGGAGTATCAAAGAATTCCTGGGGAACAAATTCCAACGGAGATCTTGATGTTGGAATCCTCTGGATCTGTTGGATCAGTGCCAATTTTTGTTCCCGTGCCAAAAGTCGTGCCAAAAGTCATGCCAATTGAACTGTTGAATTCAGTCCATTTTCCCATTTTTCTGTGTGCTGTGTTGAAATTGTCTCGCAGGATATGAGACTTGACATAGCCTGAGACCCTGACAAGAGGCTGTTTGGAATCTGCCAAGTCTGCCCATCTGAAAGGCTCCCTGCAGAAAGCATCGCAGGCGTCGCAGTTCAGTGTAACTCACAGGACCACTTTGAAAACCCAAAAACCGACCCCATCCTGTCAGATACGAGAGGAATCTCCATTGGAGGGCTGGCCGGTATGTCCTACCGAAAGGACCGCGAAAGGACCGTCCAGACATGGGTTGCTGCACTCGAAACGTTTCCATTGAACATTTCCAGAAGCTTCTGAACACATATATCTGGGTAATACGGGTACCCCAAAATTGAGTGGTGTACCATAGTCCCCGTGACAATGATGATTTTGGGGTGACACGGTGTCCCCCCTCGTTTGGGAGAAAAAACATCTATACAGTCCTTGAGTTTGGGTTCCTGTGCCATTAGCGAAGCATCCAGTCCCCTCAGTGCATGTCGGAGCATTGGTGGAACTTCAGTGGGCTACAAGAAAATGCATTCCAATCAACTTCATATAAAAAATAGTAATTTCAGTGTCCCACTGAAAATGCAGATATGTACATATATTTTATACATACATATTAGATATATTGTTATTTTATTACACTATAATATATATATATCACGTACTTTTACTACATAGGCAACATCATGTGTATTCGGTCCTGCATGTAAATTTCATTAAATTTCACCAGAATGACCTACTGTGACTTTGACTCTTCTGTCTCTGTGCTCCCAGCATTCGCATGCTTTGAATGGGAAGTTCGGTTCTGGCAGGAGGAATGGGCATCTCCTGGTACCAGCTCTGCATAGCTCTGCTGTACGGTCACCGTACAAAAAAAACTCAGTCCGCAGGTTGTCTGGGCTCCTGAGCGTAGACTTGGTGCATTGACATTTGTGCGGAAGGCCTTAGCTCCGGCTCCGGTACCTCTTTGAGGCTTCCTCTGCAACCATGACTGGGCTTGTGAGCAATATATAGCAATATGATATAAGATGAGGCTAGTGGCAGAAACTAAAGATGACCAAGCGCCATCCGTTCATCCGTTATACGAATTTCTAAGTTTTTCTCAGAGACTTTGCTACAAGCCCACCAGATCCTACCAGCTTTCAATGCGACAATATGTTGAGACCCTGGCTGGAGATAGCGACGACAGAAGTCAGCATGTTGCTGAAAAACCTTGAGGAGTCGGTTCCACCAAGCTTCATGTGATACATCAAGAAACAAGAGAGCAAATGAGAGCCATGACTGTATGACATGACAGCAGAAACATGCGAAGACAACGATCAAAATGGGCTGTGAAACACCTTGTGAAACCTTGTGAAACCTTGTGAAACCTTGTGAAACCTTGTGAAACCTTGTGAAACCTTGTGAAACCTTGTGAAACCTTGTGAAACCTTGTGAAACCTTGTGAAACCTTGTGAAACCTTGTGAAACCTTGTGAAACCTTGTGAAACCTTGTGAAACCTTCAACATGTTCAATAATGATGAAGTATCAAATTGTATGAAATATGAAGAGTGCGGCATCCTGCCCACAGTCTTCTGCAATTGCCAATGTCACATGACATGGCTACGCCGATCTTCCAAGCCATGCCGGCTCTGCCCAAGCGTCCAAGTCGGAAGACAGGATGGCCACAGCTACCTCGTTCGATCTCGTCCGCATGCAAAATGTCATCAAAATGTGACATGAATGACACAGCATGACTCATGACACAGCGAATCACAGCGAATCACAGCGATGCTGCCTGCCGCAAGCGCGACACCTCGCGGTTTGCCAGTCACAGTCGCAGAGTCTGCAAAATTTCTGCTTGGTTCAGGTGCAAAAGCTCCCTGCTTCGCAGAAACTGCAATGTACTGCAATGTACTGCAATGTACTGCAATACTGATCCAGTTCTATCCAGGTCTAATGTCCAGAAAGAAAATTAATGTCTCAACCGTTGCTCTCGGGTCTCGCCTGGGCTGAATCTGAAAGATTGACTCTGACTGCAGATACGTCAGCCTCACAGGGAATTCTTCAAAAAAGTCTGTCGAGTTGCAGTGATCACCAAAAGGAAAAAAAGGAGAGCCTGCAGTTGTAGTACATAGCGCCGACCGCGCACGACCACACTGAAAGTGTGAAGCAAATTTGAAAACCTAAAGCAGAGTCGCGAGACACACGAGACACTGAAATGACACACTGGATGCATGAAAAAATGATGCATCAAAATTGAATAGAATACATCAAAATACATCAAAATACACTGAATATACACTGAATATGACGAGCTTTGGATTTCACCACTCCATTTTTCCTGCCAAGGGCTGAAAAACCGACGTTCCACACAGCTGACCCCATGAAATCAGACTGCCACAACGCACAGATTGCCACAACGGTCGAATTCACGGGTTGGAGGTCTACTCATACAACATCAATCAACATCATACAACTACTTCTGACATCTAGAGTGACACTACTCAATACTGTCAATATCTGTCAATACTACTCATATAAATTTAATATATAAATTATATAACTTACATGACTAACTTTGCCAGTCTTGAGCTTTGGACAACCTTCCTGACTTCTTCCTGTTCATCAGCACACCCAACTTAGCGCAGCAGAGCTGGCAGAGCGGTATCTCCACTGACACTTTGCAGGAACGGCTTCCAATGAAGTTGAAGATGTTGAAAAATCTTGAAAAGAGCTGCAACATCTAACGCCAAAAAAAAAGCCAAGCTGCAAATTCATCACCACTCAGCATAGCGGTGTTCATTGCGCGGACCAGAGAATCGTCATTTTGGCAGCCCTGTCCGCTGCACAAAATGGCAGGGCTCAGTGTGAAATCCATGGCTATCGGCGCCGGCCTCCATCATAAAGGTACAGGGCTGCCCCAGTACTTCATTCCTGTGCCATGGCGACAGCTGGCTAGCTGGCCAATGAGGGGATGAATCAAATTTGAGGTACCTCAGCTTGAAAAGAAACCAAAAAACAAAGGAGTCAGGATGCCCGTGCGTGCCTAGTGTATCCGCAAAGCTCTTCAAAACCATCCTGGCACCCAGCACAGCTACAATGAAAACTCATTGATTCACTAAGACAAAACATGACAAAACATGACAAAACATGACAAAACCTCAGAATTCCAGGAGGAAGCCATCCGATTTTTGCCAGGTGACTGAACACCCCACGATGATTCGGTTTCCCACACTTGGATCTACAAGCCTAAGCAGGCTTGGGAAGTAACGGGAAGTGACTGTCGTACAGTACCTTTTGTGTGACTCACAAGTGACTCACAATTTCTGACAAATAATGAGGTGTGACAGGTGTAAGGTCAGAACACAACAAAGTGGTTGAGGCCAAGGATTGGATTGGGCGCGAGCGGGGCCTGATGAATGACCATGAAGAAGTTGAAATATAGATGAAAATCACTGTTGAAATCCAATTCACAGATGTTTAAGTATACCAATTCAAATCTTATAATATCTTTTATAAAATACTCAATTCCAATATTTCCAATCCACAGATCTGATTTTGCTCACGCTCACGGCAGTGCCTGGCTCTGCCAGAGTTGGGGGTTCGCCTGCATCTCCTCGCCACATCCAAGTCGTCCCATCCCGTCGTCCGAGCTCCGAGTCTGTTTCTGTCTCTCTGTAAACGTGCCGTCCTGCGAGAGAGGCAACCTCCTTCCTGAGACATTTCAGCTCTGAAAATAGATGGAAATTGGAAATCGTTTCAAAGATTCAAAGCACGTCTGACTCCAAGGCAGTGTCTCTGCTGACAAGGCTCACAGTTCAGAGCACGAGACAACACAGATGGCAACACGAAATGCTGCTCTTTGAGAGCTAAGAGGAGCAGCGGCGATGCATAGGCAAGTGCAAGCTCACAGCCAGCAGGTACGCGACATTCACAACACACATAGGGAACCGAGTGCTATCGTGAGCTATGTTTCAGATATCTAGAAGCTGAAGTTGGAAGAAACTTTCAATTCAACTAAATTGAATACATAGCTCTGCTGGAATGCTATGGAAGAGAATTAAAAACAATGCAAGGAGCGAAGGAGTGGTGGACCATGTAGGTGTTGTGTAGCAGGTGCTTGTCCAGCACGCCCATTGATCGCCTGGCGTTCATATTAGGATTTTGATGAAGTGCCATGAAGTGCCACAAAGTGCCACAGGGCCAATCACGAAATCCGAAACTTCACATCTTGGGCTGCAGCTTCACGTCTTCCTTCGCACCTCAGAGATCTAAGTCGCTGAAAGATGCTGAAGGCAGGGAACTTCGGAGCGTTTCGGTATGCCAAAAAATGCCTTGCTCCACAGGAATTTCTTGCGGCTCTGGCAAGCTGTGGCTTCCGGAATGTTGGGATAGGTACCCATCACCTTAAAAACAGGCTGAAACAAAGCGCTTGAAGTTACCCTCTGGTAATTTAACATAGCTATTGAAAATTGCCATTTATAGTGAGTTTTCCCAATAAAAATAGTGATTTTCCATAGTTATGTTAGTTTACCACAGGGTAAATTTACAAAAACAGTGAGACTTCGGTCTTTTCACGGTCTTTTTGTTCATGGTCCATGGTATTTTTCAATGTATCCAGCAAATCATGGCGGCGTCACTGGCAGCACCCAAGTGCAAAGAGGCACCTTGCACAACGAAAGCGAGACTCGGATCCCCAGGGTGGGTGAGACTCCCATCTCCCCAGGCTCCATCTCCCACCCCCCACACCTCTAGCTCGTGGGTGCAGAACTCCATCCAGGAATCAATCATGCCGCCCTGTCAAGATCTGTCAAGATCTGTCAAGATCTGTCAAGATCTGTCAAGATCTGTCAAGATCTGTCAAGTGCCAACGGCTGCCAACCCTGTGATTCAGAGATTGCGAGTCACTGTCCGGAAGAATCTGAATAGCAGTGGTAGTCAAAAGAGATTGATAACCACGGTTGAATGTCTGGAAGCATTGGAAAGTTCCCTTACAACGCGTGTGGGTACTGAGCCATCATGGCTATGTCAAAGTGGCACAAATCGAACAATTCGAATTCGAATTCGCCTCAATGAGGTTTTGACCATAGAGCCCAACCGGTCGACTGATTCGTGAGATATACCTGGGCCATCCGGGCCATCTTTGCATATCTTTGCCATCCCATCTCCAAGATTTCTATAGATTTCTGGGATCCCCTCACCGTGCAATGGCGCCACTCGAAAAAATGCAGCCCTTTGAGGTCTCCAAAACAGGAACCTCAACCGACTGAAGGGATCTCAAATTCTCAACGAGCCGAAAGGTCCAAGAGGTCAGGCCCTGACCCGGCCAGTGACTGCTTCGCCAGCTTTGTCTGGACAAGCCACCTGGAAGATGTCTGAACTTCTGAATTGCATCAGATGTTCATGATGTTCATGTATGGGACAGAACGTGACACTGGCACCAATTTACATGAAATATCATGAAATGATGTGCAAGAAACCAGGCAAGTTTTTGCCAGAACCCAACAGCCCAACAGCACACCTCTAGGCCCACATACTGCGCTGCAATCAAGGCCTTTCCGCAGCTTCAACAGGGTCCAAGAGGTTCGACAATATTTCTTTACGAGACAAAGTTTCTGTCTGGAGGTTTCTGTCTGGAGGCCATAGCCATCCATAGCGGCTTTTTGGCCTCAGCTTCCCTTGGAGATCCTGAAACGGATCGTTTCGGATCTGCCGTGGCTCGCCTTTTTGGTCTTGTAGTTGTCAGGATGGGCGTAGAGCTTCATCATGCCAAAACCAGCTTGTCCTGACATATCTGACATGGACCCAACCGACACTCACCCGGTTCACCGTTTGAAAAATATGAAAAGAACAGCCGTCCTCTCTTTCCTGCAGAAGCAGTCCGGAGTTTGAGCCAAACACTGCGTTGATCATGGGCCATGGAAGCCACGGAAGGCCAACCAAAGCTGTGGCAAATGCCGGCCTTGCAGTCATTTACCATATTTTACAATCCTTACAAGGTCTCAAATCCGCGCAAATCCGCGCAAATCCGCTCTATGCGTCTTTCTGCTCACAGCACGGTCAGGAAGTTCAGATCAATTCGAATCCTCCCGCACTCAGTTTATTTCAGAGAAGCTTCCAAGCGTCACCGATGTTTCCTCGCGGAAAGATTCGTCTCTGACGTGTGCATCTCATGTGGGTATGGCTCAAAATCATGGACTCATTTTTCATACTTGTTGTATCTTACATTACCATTCGACACTCTGGCGCTCAATGACCAAACTGACTCATCATGTTTTTTCCTCACCCTGAGCTTCGAACCAAAGAGGTCGTCATCTGTGGAAGCCTCCGTCACTGAGTGATCTTTTGTCACAGCGTCGTCGACTTCCATGTCCTTCGTTTCATTCTCATCCTTCTCTTTCTCGTTCTCCTTGTTCTCTTGAAGACTCTGATTGCCCTGATTGTTCTTATCCGACTTATCCTTCTCTTTCTGATTCTTCGCCTCTTTCTTCTCTTTCCCTTTGTTGCCAGATCCCTTAGATCCCTTGGCTTGGCTGGCCTTACCACTGCCCTTGTCTTTTCCACTCTTTCCCTTGCCACTCTTGCCACTCTTGCCACCCTTGCCCTTTTCTTTTGCTTCCGGCTCCTTCTCGGCTGCTTTCGCAGCTTTCTCGCCATTTTTCTCGCCATTGTCGGTCTCTTTTCCCTTTTGCTTTCCTTTCGTTCCCTTGCCCTTCGAACCTTTGGCCTTCGATTTCCCTTTGCCACTGGATTTGCCATCGGATTTGCCATCTTTGTCTCTGTCCCAGTCGACTTCTGACCTCTTAGGACTCTCAAAGTGGTCCTCTGTCAGATCGCCATAATCTCCGTAATCTCTGTAATCTCTTTCCTCTTCCTCTTCCTCCTTCACAGCTTTTTCACCTGTGTCCTTTCCCTTACCTTTGCCGCCTTTGCCGCCGCCTTTGCCTTTCTCAGGCGATTTTGGTCTCTGTCGGCCATCAGGTGCCCGCCTCACAGTGGCGACAAAACCATTTTGGCGTCGTCAGAAATTGCAGGAATCTGTTTTTGAGAATACTCTGTATCCTTCTGTATCCATCTGAAATTCTTCATATTTCCATATATTTCCTATGGTCCAAAAAATCGATCCGAGTGACGCGATCGTCTTCGATTTGGGAGTTGGCTGCAAAGCTCGGCGGACCTGACGGACCTGGTGAGCTGTAAAAATATCCGAAATCAACAAAAAAAAACGTCAAAAACAAAGAGATACAACAAAAATCAACAAAATATATGGAAAATATGGATTTCAATGGATTTCATGTCTTTGTAGTTGCATGCGGGGAGCACCCTGTTTCGTGTTGGGGTCGTGTGGGGATGTGGTGGGATGTAAACGTAACGTGCGGGTTGACTTGCACACCCATCTGGATACTATTAAGATTGATGCCATATAACTTGCTCACGCATTTGATACTAGGTTGCAGTTGGGTTTGATTGTTGGGGAAGTGCAAAGAGCAAACTTCAAAACGTGGAAAACGCTGAGTCACTGGTTCTTGCAAAAGTACACTGCATAGTACTTCATACATCCATGGTGTATTGTTATATTTATATGAATTTATCATAACCTATATATATATATATATGGGGTGTTTTAGCTAACTGGGGGTTTGTTCTCTATCTAGGGGTTTGACCCAAAGTGGATTTATCAATCATAACATTTAACCCAAAGTGGACCAATCAAGTAGGCTTGAACCACAGCGGATTCATCAAGCAGGTTTGACCCAAGTTGAATTAAGTAGGTTTGGCCCAGATAGGAGTCATTAGGTAGATTCATGGTTTGATCAAATTGGATATATCAAGAATGGGATTCATCTTAGTGCGGCTTCAAGCCACACCATCGTCCGGCCCTCCCGGATCAAGCCAAGTGTATGCTGTTTGGTGTGCGTGGTCTTCGTCTCCTGAGGCGGGTGGAGGCTCTTAGTTTTATGTGGAGGTGATCGGCCGCATTGGAACCTGCTGTCAGGTGCATGGATGTGGCTTCGACTACTGCGTCAGCCATTGGTTAGGGCCCCAAAATGATCTAATCTTCATGCTGCACAAAGTATGATACGACATTATTTGAGAATGATATTTTCCCCTTCACCATTTTCCCCCCTGATTTTTGATTTGGATGCCGGGCTCAGGCCTATTGCTTTGGTGGGGCCCCTTTCAAGGCAATCTGTCCTTGAAGCGCAGTCCACAAGAGTGGCCTGGGGGAGTAGGATGTACAAATAGGTGAATGGAAACCTAAGGGGGAATGGAAAATATAAGGGGAATGGACATATAGAAATCCGGCATCAAATATATAATATTCATAATAACTTTCCAAATTCCCTCAATCCTTTTACCTACTGAGCTGGCCTGACTGGGCCCCCTGGCGAATCCGAAGCAACATCTCCAGCAGCTCGTGAAAGAGATGTATGTCGTTGTGCGTGAGCTCAGCTGGGCATACAGGACACCCAAAACCCTAGATACACACCAAACCCCTGGTTGACAGGGAAGGCCCATATATTATAATATCATATATAATATCATTTATCAGTCATTTATCAGTCATTTCTCCAGTTATTTCTCCTAGTTTTTCTCCTAGTTTTCACTGCCACGTGCCTGACCAGCAGCTGGCCGATCGGAGCGAGGCCTTGGCGGCGCGAAACTCGGCCCCCAACTGCTGCGGCGTTTGTTTTGAGGCGCCCGGCCGGAGGTGGACGACGGTGACGGAGGCGCGGCCACCAATTGGACCTGCAGAAACATCGAAACATCGAAACATCTCAGAACTGGGAAAAGGTCATGGAAAAACTCTACAATATTAGAATGTTGGCAAACTATAGAACTAATATTCACTAATATTATGATGAACAAATATACTAACAATATTTATGTTAGCAGCTCCAATATGGTCCAATATGGTCCAATTCTCCAATGATGATCATTGTCCAACTATGGTGATCATTGATGTTTTCATTGGAAAAAATGGTGATGGTGAACCAATTAATCCACCAATTGGATGGTTGATGTTAGAACCACTGGTGGATCACTATGAAATACGAAACGAAAATCATTGCATCATTATCAGTATCATCATTGGTCTCTCCAGGCACCATTACGATCGCATAGAATTGAATTTGCCAGGCCAAACAGTGCACTGGCAAGGCTTCACATGGTTACGTGCGAATCGAATCAAATCGGTACAAATGGCACTGCAGCGAAGACTTTTCCTGACTTGTTGCTCGGCTCAGTCTGTAGGATCACACTGATCGCAGTCTTCAAGTGCTCCAAGTGCACAGTTGGCTCACACTCTCCGTCGACGTCTGGCAATGTCTGGCAATGTCTGGCATTCTGAGTGGGCGGCCTCAACTTGAAAGATCTGAAAGTCCCACAATCCGACACCGGCACCGACACCGGCAGGTTTCGATCCATTTCGATCAGTTCTGCTTCAATCCGTTTTTGTTGGCTCGGTTTGCTTCATGCGCTTCCTTGAGCTGGGTCATTGGCGTCAACTACAAAGCAACACTGCCACAGGCCGCAAATGATGAGTTGATCATAGCTATGTCATGTATGAATAAAAGTCCAGTTCATCTCAAGCAAGGAATTGATTGAACAATATCATATTGTTCTGACAAGAAAAGAAAAGAAAAGCATCTCGAGACCAAGGCTCTCTTCCCACTGTTCTACCCTTTTAATACATCGCAAGCAGCACAACACAAAGCTACCCATGAACAGGAAAACAGCGAAAAAGGCAGCGAGACCATTTGCAACCTTGGACAATTTTGGACTCATAATCTTTCACAATCATGCAACGCCATACTTGTCTTATCTTGCCATTCAACTTTGCCTGGTAAACATCAAAGAGATTCAACGAAAATGACATATCTTTGGTGCCTTTGATGCCTGCAGTCCTTTGCTTTGACGCCGAGCAACATAGAAAACCTTAGTCTCCGCACTTGGCGCCGCAACTTGGCGTATCATATCGCTCTCTTTGCTCCTACTGCAATGGATGTTTGGTTTTCAAGTGCTCACATAACGTGTTTTACGTGGTGTTTCACCACTGATATTGGCAGCCAATACTAAGATTACTAAGGCCAGCAGCATTGGTGCGAAAGTCCGCCGGCGCTTCCAGAGGATTCTGCGCGATGACTTCAGCATGTGTCGGCATGGCAGCTGAACTGATCGCAGTTTTTAACGGACTGAGGCAACCGCGACTTTTGAGGCGCAGCAAAAAAAAACGATCAAGATGGGCAAGGCAAAAACATGCAAAAACCATCAAAGTGCAAAGAAAATGCCGAGTGGGTTTGAACCTGGCATATGTACCCCAAACATCACCAAACAATGCAACTTGGATGGGGAAAATTATGCTTTATCGATCTGTTTTTGGACAAGCCATGACAATGTTGGAAAATTTCGGTGCCATTTGGTGCAACCGCCGCGCGGTCGCAGAGGAGCCTAGCTCCAAAAATCTTCGCCGACGCTACACGAATGAAGCATTCTTTAGCCTAAGTATACCTAAGTAGCATTCACAAAAGCATTTCGAACGGACGAACAAGCCTTTCCAAAAAAATATATTCCAGTGCTCGAAATGGTCGAACACTTGAAAGACATTGAAAGACTCATCAAGGATATTTGTCGGCGAATTATAACAAGTCCTACGAGCGCACGTTGCTTTGAAAAAGCCTCTATACAGCAACTTAAAAACTGCCGGCTGGAAAGCCTCTTCCACCCCTCAGTCCCAAACAGTTGTGCTGGTTTTCCTTGTGTCTGTGATTCCATCATTGTCTTCTTGTTTCTGCGAAAACAAGGGTTTTAAGCCTTCAAGGCACTTTGGAAGCGTCAACTTTTTCAAGCCAGCTCAGAAATGTAAGTGATATCCTTGGCAGGGGTTTTTCATGTGTAGCGCTGTTGTTTTTTGTGTCATGACAACTGAACATCCAACTTGCACAAGCAGCAACCAGCTATGCCGCATTGCCGCGTTGCCGCATTGCCATTATTGTGCTGAGGTCAGGTCGTCCCAGGGATGTCTGTAGAGCGGCTGCTTCAGCCTGCCGAAGGCTAAAGATCTTCAATCCAAAGTGCACCTTCCATTGTCATAGGATTGTCATAGGCGAAACATGGCGAAACATGGCTAAACATGGCTAAACATGGCTAAACTAGCTACAAATAGATCAAATAGCTCCATCCGAAACAACTCTCGACCCGGCCTGAGTTGATCGAGGTGGTGACCGATGAAACCCATGGAGCGGCCCAAAACGAAGAGACCGTTGAGGCATCCAAAGCTCATCAAATCATCTGCCTGCAGCAGCTCAGAGCGGAGGACTGGAGGACACCACAAATCACGAGCCAAACAGAGCCTCCTCTCTGGAAAAAGCTCCACAGGATCGAAGCATATCTGTGAAGCAAGCCTCACAAGCACGAATGTTGTCAGATTCTCCTGAGTCCAAACATGTGAGAACCGGAGTAATCCGAACATAACTCTCATTGGCTCACCGCAATGCATCCATCAACATTGAGGATCAGGTTTGCTCGCTTCCTCAGTTGCTTGTCCCAAACTTGTCGGATGCATCGGATGCGTCGGATGCGCCGGGCACGTGGGGACGGTCTGATACTGTCGGCATCTGTCGGCTGTCACAGGCTGTCACAGGCTGTCACAGGTACTGGTACATCAGACCTGCAGACGTCTGGGACGTCTGGGACGTCTGGTGCTGGTCTCAGGCTGGAGCTTCGTAGTGATCTGCTCCACAGCAAGGGCGAAGTCCTGACCGAAGGTCACCGTTCACGGTGACATGTGACATGTCGAGACCTTTGGCCCAGCGGCTCGAAGCATCAACTCCAAACTCCCCTGCTGCCGCTCCAGGATGCTGGTATCTTTGAAGAATTTCTTGGCATACTCTTTGATGATCACAACCTCAGAATCTGAGGGATGTCGGTGTCTCGAAACGTTTCACAGTTGAAGGATTGACCGCTCTTAGGCAGCAGCTCTTTGATCCGGATTCGCCAAGGATTTGATGCGGTGACCTTGGTAGAAACGCCAGCCATATATCCATATCATCCCAATGGAGATCATCCCATTGTATGGGATATATGATCATTATACATTAGATATGATCATTGTATGGGATATATGAGATGATATATGATGTTATAAAATTGGACATATGATGATCCCATTGGATATATGATATAAGATCATCATTAATCATCAATGGTCATCATTGGTCAGTGCGCGTGTGTGTGATGTTTCTGCTGTCGCAAAAAGACACTGCAAAATCTGCAAACTGCTCGAAAAGTGCTGCCGGCACAAAACTGTGGCGTCGCAAAAGTGAGCTCGGCACCAACACCCATGATAAGTTTGTTCTGCTTCTTGCATTGCTCAACGAAGTCCTAACAACCAGCTACCCCTGTAGCAGCTCTGCGCACCCAAAATGAGCACCCAAAATCCCTGCATTGCTCAAGACTCTTCCCAGCGCTCCTTCGGTGAAATGCCACTGTCTCGCGCCTCTGCAAACCTCGAAAGAAAAACAGTGCCGACGTGCTGCCATGTCTCCAGTCAGCTAAGCGGCATCTTTGCTGCATCGTCCAATGCGCCACCAAAGCGTGGTCCAATGGTCAACAGACCTGAGAACAGGATAGAACAGGCGCAGCGAAAGTTTCGGTGTCGTCTGGGTGGCGTATGATCACTAGATATCACTGGATATCACTGGAAACTCTGCGAGGGCCCACCACTGCACAGGGCGGAAACCAAGTCCTTGCCAGCTCGTGCAGTCCTCACACGTCACGACGTCGGCGTGTCAGCACCGTGACTAGCCGTGACGTGTCGCCGATGCCCACAGAACGACGACTCTTAGGTGCTAACACGATGGTGTTGTGAGCACCGCTTACAGCTGGTCCATGGTCAGCTGTCACCTTTGGAGCACATGTGTACCATTTAATCAAATAACAATAAATAAAAGGGAAAACATGGTAAACCAATCAATACCTATGAAAATACCATTTTTAGTGGCTTATTCACATCCATTTTAACCCAGCTAAATTTTGATGTGAACAGAAGGGGTACAGTTGGTTTTGACCCATCCCCACATGGTAAACCAAACTAACCAACCGATCACACTGAGAGGAGGACCATGAGAATCATCTCCTGAGATTTGAACTTAAAAGACATGCCCAAACAAAATGAAACGATATTTGAAGAGAAATATTATATATTATATACAATATAGTATTTAAAAAAAATATATATATATATATTGTATATTATATAAAATAAATATATATATATATATTATATTTTATATATTATAATTGTATATACATATAGAATCATATAGATTAAAAATATTATATATATATATATTATATATTATATAT